CAGTACTGTTTTATCACTCAGGGAATGCATGTTGATGAGGGAGAGTGAATAAAATTGTGGTAAAACTTAGTATCTGATAGGGACAGGCCTGCTGATGAAAGCCATCACACCCAAAGAGCCACATCTTTCTAGGTGGCTCAGGCCCTGGGGTACAGATGGAGAGAAACAGGAAAGGAATCAGAGAAGCAAATGTAGACCAAGGGACAGCACAAAGAGACAGGAAATGGGAAACTTTAAAGTTAGTTGCATGAGATGTGATAGCTTAGAATCCTGGAGAGAATATTTGGTCAAAGATTGCCTCTGGTCTTATCTTTCTTTATTCTTCTTCAGCTTAAACACTGTAAGAAATTTAAGACAATGATATATAAAACACACAGTCTGAAATACAAATGTAATGCAACAACACCTGCATTTTGCAATAAGAATTTAGTGCAATATCAGATTTCAATGTGAGAATCAGATTTTAGAGCTATAGTCAACATTCGCTCAGTCATGTATTCTCTAGATAAAGGATAAGCATATTGCAGACAATGTGTGCTACAAGCTGGAACTGTAATTGTAAACATGGGAAAACATAGATTTCACAGTATATAAGAGTGCTCTTGTTCTAGAAGGTTTATGTTACTAAAATCAATTTTGTTTTCAACAGACTGAAAAACATTGAATTATATGGATATGGATAAATATGTTCTTATTCCTCTGAAGAGATTTCTTTGAGCTTTCAATATATCTTATTTACATATCACACATTACAATAGTCTGGTGGTCTCTTTTCAACACCTATTTTGAAGATTTTCATATTTATGTTAACCAGAAAACATATTTGGTTAGGAAGCAGTTCTTCAAATTCATATATGGGAAAACAGATTTATTCCCAAATAAAATACTCAATAATAATTTATGATTTTCTTACAGATTTTTCAAAACTGCCTTCTATTTAAGAGGTAGACATTACAGTATATAGGTACAAGTCTGATTAGTATAATTTCTTCAATTCTTTTGTTCAAGTTTCTCTAAATGTACCTGCCACAATTCACTGAGGACTAACCTCTGGGACTTGAAAAGAAAGAAAGAAAGAAAGAAATTTCTTTTGTCTCCAAAGCTGTATTGGGCTTTTATTTAGTTGAGGCTTGAGGCCTAAATGACATTCCCCTGATATGTATATAGTAGTAATTTGAATGAGAACAAAGACAGAGATGTTGGTGGAGGCGCCTTAACGCACATCTCAGCCTTTCATATTTAAATATTTTCTGAACCTGCAAAATCAATATTGGACTCACTGTTAAGTTTGAGCATTTTTGTTTCTTTAGTTAGTTCCAATACCAGTGGAAGAGGATTTTGTGAGTGACAAGTGAGGAAAATAAAAGGATAAATGCTCAATGATGGCAATGGAAAAAAATACAGAAATGAATAGTAAGGCAAGCCCCCAATGGTTTGTTTAAAATCTGGAAGAGAAGATGGGGTGAAACAGATGGGTCATTAGACTTTGAGACTGTGACATTTGGAAGCTAGAGTTACATTTTCTTTGAAGCTGTGAATAAACAGCTTGGGGATAGTCTATGATGTTCTTTTATGATACTGGTTTTATTCCATTTGTCTCAGGGCACATGTGTTGGTTAAATTGTCTTGCTCTAATTTTTATGCTGGAATATATTACCTTTAAAATATTTTCATTTCTTATGCTTGATTTCAGTATAACTGAAACTTAAGTTTATAATATACCGGCCCATTTAAAGACCTGAAATCTTTCTAACGTTGTTATGGGACTACCAACCTGGTTTAAACTAATCTCATAGAATGTTATTCATGACATGTCTTTTCACAACTGTATAGCTTCTTGGAGCTGAAAGGTGCTATAGTAATATGGAAATAAATTAAGATTAAACAAAAGAGAAGAGGGAATGTTTATTATTTAGAGCTTGCATTTGGCAAAGACTCCTAGGAAGGCAGAGAAGTAGGAAAGCTTTCTAGTGAAAAAAGGTGTTAAATTAAATTTGATCTAAAGCTGCCTTTGTATGTAGCAAATTGCAGCCTAACTTAGTATATAAACAAACTTAGTATATAAGTTAGTATACAAACAACTTAAGAGTATATTCTTGTAACAAATAGCACAGTTTTGACCAATCATAACAAGCAAACTTTCAGTCAACCACAAGTTGCAAACTGCCAAAACATGTCGAAATAAAGCAAAAGCTCATCAAGATATTTCTGTATGTCACTTCTTTTTTCTTTCTATAAATATTACCTGGCCAGTTTGCTGGGTGGAGATGTCTGAATCTCTACTTTTACAGGGTGCTACCTAATTCATGAATCATTTCTTTACTCAGAAAACTCTGCAAAACTTAATTTGCCTAACAATTTTCTTTCACCAAAGGAAGCCTTCAGGTGTGCCTTGATTGGAGTCAGATGACATATGGAGAATGCAGGCAGGCTAACTAGAAGTGGGGCATCCTATGTGATTGGTTATAGGTGCATATTTTTCTTTCTCCAGTTGCTTCTAAATTGAAAGCCAGGGCACAAATTGGGAAAGTTGCCAGTTATTACTCAAGTCCTGACTGTTTGGGGCCAAGTGTTACATGGGTTATTGCTTAGCTTTCTGGATTAGACGCTAGAACTAGTTGTCTGACTTCCTGCAGGTCTGACTAGAACATAGTAGGTTGACTTCCAGATGTGGTTGTTATAGATGATGGTGTAGAATTCTGTTTTATATGTGATCTAGCAACTTTTCATTTGACTATTCAGACTCTTAGTGATTGTCTAGTGCACATGTAGATGATTGAATAAAAGTATGCAGAACAAATGGCTATATTTTACTTAAATGAATACTGTTTTATTTTGTGTAGCACTTTTTAGTTTTCAAATGTAGAATATTATTACATTCTTCCACTAAAATCAGGAAAGACAAGTAGGGCTGATATTTTCTCTGTTCTGTAGGAAAAAAAGAAAAATGAGGCTCTAAGAGGAAAAAGCAAATGCTTTATCACATAGGTCACCAGCCAGGGCTACAAAATGGGGCCCTTTGGGATTCTTGACCTAGACTTCTCGATACATTACAATCCATTCTATCTGTGCCCCATGGATTCAGATATTGGGGAAGTAAAGTGTGACATTTGTATTATCATACCACTAAAAGTTGATGAGTATTTTAACCTAAATGTAAATAAAACAAAATGTAAAATCTTTAAATAATTTCCGTGATTTTTTTAAACCATAGCCTTTCTCAATTTTTTTCATTTGAATTAAACTTTTAACCTGGTAAATGTTACGACTTGTGATTATTAGATAATCAGAGTTTTGAAAATACAATTAGCTCTATGACACTTTAATGCATTCATCATTATTCTTATTCCATTAGGAATGTTGTGCTTCCTACAAAGATTAGAAAGATGCCTGAGGAGTTGAGAAAACTACTATATAAATACATTAATCAATTTAAATATCTACTGAGAAATATGCTAGTTGCTGGGGGCACCATTTTTTTTAATGCAAAATAAAACCAAAACAAAAGTCATTACTTGCCTTCAAAGAATTCACGGCCTTTTGGAGAGAGCAGACATATAGAGCTATAATATAATGCAATGCTAGTACAGAAATGACTATAACCTTGTAGGAGTGGTAATATGGGTGAGGGGGCTCCAGAGGACACTTACATTGAATAACCAAGTAAACAAAGACAAGATAAAAGGCTATTCAAAGCAGGAGAGGTAGGAGCTGTAAAAAACAGGATCATTTGGGAGTGAAGTGGGGAGGAAGGAGCTACAAAATTTAGTGATGCTCCTTGAGTACAATGTTTAGCAGAAAGTAAACATTGGAGGATGCAGGCAGGCTAACTAGAGGAAGAAAAGAGTGAGATGGCGAAGATTCGTATGGATTATATTAAGGAGCTTAGACAGTTTTCTGTAGGTAACCAGAGGTTTCTGGAAGGATTTTAGTCAGGGGTACATTATGATAGGATTTGCATTTTCAGCAGATCACTTTTGCAGTGTAAGAAGCTTGTACTTTGAGAAGTCAACGACAGAGTCAGAGATGAGTTAAAGTAATTCAAGGAAGATGATTAGCACTTGATCTAGAGCAATTGAGGTAGACATGATACAAAGTGGAAGAAAAGGGAAAGCAAGGTATCCAGAAATAAAATCTACAGAATCTTTTGACTGATGGTTATAGAGAATAGCAGTTAAAGAAAGGGAAAGACAAGCCTCTAGCTTGAATAGTTGGCTGGAAAGGAAGAACCAGTAGTTTAATCAAAAGTGCTATCAATTCAATATCTGAAATGTAAAATTTGTGTTACCTATGGGGCCTCCAGATGGACTCATAAGAATGGCCAAGTATCTGGAAAACTATTTAGGAATCATAATAATCAGATAATGCTAGTTGTATCCTGGAAGATAAGAACACAGTAAGAGTGTATATAGAATGAGAAAGACGGTGGCTAAGTTAGTACCTTGGAAACAACTAATGTGTGAAGGATGCATGGAGGAAAAAAAGGTTTAAATGACAAAGAAAAGGTATTAGAACTCAACACAAGAAGATGGACCATCAGTAAAGTCAAAAGAATTGAAGATATAAATAAGTGAGTAATCAAAGTGTTGTCAAATGGCTGAAAAATGTCTTCTAATTTTATCAGCTAAAAGGTACTAGATGATCTTAGGAAAATCAGATTTAGTAGACTGGCTTGACTGAAAAAGGTTATAAAGTAAAGCATGTGAAGTGCTCTTTAAGAAGTTTCCTTGAAGATGAACACAAGGAAAGAGTTCTAAAGAAGATTTGAGATTTATTGAGGTACTCTTTTCAAAGAGTAGATAGTATTTTCCAGTGATATTTATACCTGGTAAAAGTCCCCATGTCCCTGTTATTTTTAAATGTTGTGGTCTCCAACACAAGTCCAAATGTACAACAGTATATCAAAAGCATTTTAGAAAAACACACTTTTTTTTTTTTTACAAATAATCTGGGAAGAACTTGACTTTTGTTTAACATAATGTATATCTGGTTCATCACAGAGTCAACAGAAGAACTGAAAGTCCGAAGTCACAGCACAGAGCCATTACCAAAGTTAGACAACAAGGAGAGAGGCCACCATGGGGCGTCTTCCTCCAGAGAGCCTGTCAAAGCTCAGGAATGGGATGGAACACCAGGACCACCTGTGGTCACCAGTAGAATGGGAAGATGCTCTGTGAGTCCTACCTTGTTGGCAGGAAACCACGGTTCAGGTAAGACGGATGATGATTGTCAAGATGCTAATTTCTCATGTCTTTAGAAACTACTTTTTTGAGTTATTGATAATGGCCATTCTGACTGGAGGTAGATGGTATCTCAGTGTGGTTTTAATTTGCATCTCCTTGATGACTAGTGAGGCTGAACGTTATGGAGAGGATGTGGCAAAAAGGAAACATTTCTACAGTGTTGATAGGAGTATAAACTAGGACAGTCTCTGTGGAAATCAGTGTGGTGATTCCTAAAAGTTCTAAAAATCAACCTTCCATATGATCCCACAATCCCCCTACTGGGAATATATGTGGAAGAACTCAAATCACTCTATAAGAAAGATACCTGCACATGTATGCTTATTGCAGTGCTGTTAACAATAGCAAGAACATGTAACCAACTGTGCTGCCCATCAAAAGAGGGCTGGATTAAAAAAAAATGTGGTACATATACACAATGGAATATTACACAGCCATAAAAAAGAAAAAAATCATGAATTTTTGCAGCAATCTGGATGGAATTAGAGTTTATAATACTGAATGAACTTTCACAGAAACAAAGATCTGAGTATCACATGTTCTCACTCATAAGTGAACCTTGAACAACTACCGTAATACCATAAGAAAAGGACTGACGGTAGATGGGGAGGTGGGATTGACAGTAGTCAAAATCTGCCTGGGGAAGGAGGGGCACACTTCATCAACAAGGGTAGCTGTGCAATGAATATTTGTATATCTAACCTTGAATTGTACCCCACAATTTTAAAATAAAAAAAAAAGAAACTACTTTAATGCAATTAACACTTAGAGAACCGTTGCCACAGATATTTCTACCCCCACTCAGAGAGGTGACATTAGTAATCCTTCATATAGATTACATAAAGGAGTATAACAATATATCTTACCATTCCAGAATATAACTATTTGCAGAAGTGATACGTAAGTGAATGGTTCTTCTTAGAGTCATGCAAGACAACCGCCCTTACAACTAGGCACATTTTGTACTACATTTCTTCAAAAACATCTAGAGGCCTCATCTAAAGAAGTTTTAATTTCTGAAGTTTGAGTGATACAGGCTTATGCTTCCTTTGCTTCAAAAATATTTTTAGGCAACTAGTAAAAAAATGAACAAAAGTTAAACTGAGAGCAGAAATGTAACAAAGATAGTACAAAGGCAGGAAAAATAGTAGATACTATGAGGTATTTGAAGTGGTGAGCTGAAGTCAGCAAGTAGACATTGGGCACAGTACTAAGTTTCCAAATCTAAGTTTAAAGAGATTTTTTGAAACAAATAACCTCATACTATACACTTTTCAATTTCACAAGTTGAAATTAAAATCTGCAATACAGTTTTAAATGACAGACGAATATTATTAAACATTATTTTTTTTTAAATGGCATACGTCTGCTTTGAACTGATTAATCTACGTACTGGACTCACAGAGAACTGTCAATTGAAATAAACAACAAATAACCTAGGAACCCCCTGTAGTTTTCAGGTTTCTATTTCTTAAGAGAGTTGGGACTCTGGAGAAAAGATCAATCCTTTAATACTCTTTTCAACTTTGATACTCATCTTATAAAGCAATTTACATAAATTTAGCCTGTGGTCTCTCAGACAGTCATGCACAAGTTAAAATTGGAACAAGATGAATGATCTCTGCAATTGGTGAGAGATATTCCTGGGGCAATACCCAGGCAGAGGCAAAGTAATAGCTTCTCCAGACTTAAAATGGAACTGAAAGCTTTGCTGGTGGAGACATAACATGTATTATGTGAATAACCAATGTTAAAGCATGAGTTCAAAGCTTTAACATAATTCATAGAAAAAACTGTGAATTTAGCAGAAATTTTAAAATGTATTTTTGATAATAAAGTATAGATTGCTATAGGTGTATGAGAAAAAGATACTTGTGCATTTTGTGAAAAAGAAAAAAAAAACATTCAGAACAAATTCTTTTTTATGGAGAAAAATGTCACTTCCCTATAAGGTTGACATTGATATTCATATGGAGCTTATGATTAGTTTTGAGTCTACTAGTCAATTTTTAAATTAATAACTTAAAATTAGATAATTTTAAATTTCAGATAATTTAAAAATTCTCTAAATTTAGATCAAATCTCTCCAAAATATTTGAACAATATGTGCTTCTATTGTGACTAGAGATATATTTTATAAAATAAAAAAAAGTATCACCTGAATGCCTATTATATAACAGCCACTGTTCTAGGATCTGAGAGTACATTGATGGGTAATATATCCCTACAGCTAAGTGTTTAAAGTCTAGTGTGAGAGACACAAATAGATAATTGCAGTATAATGTGTGTTTCAGCCAAAGTTCTCCATAGAAACAGAATCAATAGGATCTCTGTCTCTTTCTTTCTCCCTATGATCTATCTGTCTATCTAAATAGAGAGAGATTTGTTTTGAGAACTTGGTTCATATAATTATGGAGGCTGAGAAGTGCCACGATATGTTGTCTGCAAGGTGTAGTCCCAGTCCAAACTCAAAGGCCTGAGAACCAGGGGACCCAATGGTGTAATTCTAAATTTGAGTCTAACAATTCCAAAAACCAGACTGCAGGTGTCCAAGCACAGACAAAGAAAAGTGTCCCAGCTTAAGAGAGAATGAATTTGTCCTTCCTCCTCTTTTTGTGCTATTCAGGCCCTCAGTGAATTGGATCATGCTCACCCACTTTGGTGAGAGTGATTTTCTTTACTCATTCTACTGATTAAAATAGTGAGCTCTTCAATATTTGAAACATCTTCAAAGATACACTCAGAAATAATTTTTATCAGCTATCTTGGCATCTTTTAACCTAGTCATGTCAATGTATAAATTCACATGTGTTACATAAAAATAATATGAGAAACAACAGATGTCTTATTTTATTTTGTGTTGTTATAGCAGAATAACTGAGGCTGGATACTTCATAAAGAAAAGAGGTATATTTAGCTAATGGTTCTACAGGTTGGAAAGTTCAAGAAATAGCACTGGCATCTACCTGCCATGAGGTGAAGGTTTTTGTGGTGGGTCAAAACAAGATGAAGGTTTAAAGTGGAAGCAGATATGTGTGAAGAGAAAAATCCCACAGGTCAACATGGCTTTATAGTAGCCCACTCTTATGAGAACTAATCTAGTGTTATGAAAGTGAGAACTTACAAACTCAACTTCAATGGAACCAACCTATACATTACCCAAATACCTCCCACTAGGCCTCATCTCTCAGTGCTGCCACATTGGGGATCAAATGTCAACATGGGTTTTGGTGGAAGAAAACCATATCCAAGCCATGGAAGAGAAATAAGGTAATTCTTCCTGGGGCAGTATGATTTTGGCAGGAATAATCACAGGTTTTTGGGGAATAAAAGAATACTTTCTTGAAGTAACATGTGAGTAAGAGTTTGAAACAGAAAGAATTACATTAGAAAGATAAAGAAAAAAGTCTGCTATTTGAATGAAAACATAAAATCTATGGGGTGGAATGAAGTGCGTTTGATGATGTGAAGGGTGAGGGAAGATTGACTAAAGAAATACGGTGGTAGGTGGTGACCAGATAACAAAAATATTGGAGGGCCTTGAGAATGAGCTAGAAATGTTTTCAGCCGTAAAGTACGTCACCACTGGTTTAAGCAATAAAGGCCTTTGTTTGCTCCCATAGCATCAGGTCTCGAGGAAGGTGGCTCCAAATGTTTTGCAACTGCTCAGATATGACATAAAAAATATCCAGGAACCTTCTATCCTAACAACTCTCCTGTCCTGTTACCCTTGATGTTTGTTTTTATGATTACAGGGTGACTGACTACCCAGTTCTGGGCATCATACCTCAGAGGACTCTCTCTTTCACCTAATTGGTCAGAACTGGGAAATATGTTCTCTGTACCTATCTCTGAGTAAAAGAAAATCGGATTTCCATGGGTTTATCAAGAGTCTTTCTTTAATATAAATCAAGGTGCCTCTGCCTTTCATCTGGAAATGAAATCAACAGTCTATTAGCAGGGATAAGGAGGAAATGATGTTGCATAAGCAAAGGACAGTATCTGTCCCATCGTGGTTAGGTTGTGAACATTGTGTAGTGAATATTTTGCAGTCATTTTTTTTTTTTAAGATGGGGTAATGTAATTTAGTTTGCTTCATGGAAGATTCAGTGATGACTCCAAGGCTTTAAGCTTGAGTGACTGAAATGTCATTTACTGAGATAGAGACAGTCATTGTGAGATGGGGAGCGAAGTTTAGGAGAAAAAGTTAGGACTTAAATTTTGACTGTGCTAAGTTAGTAGTGCTTAGATGGTAGGTGCACTTAAAGCTCACACCAAAACTATTTGTGCCCCCAAAGCTATTGAAATAAAGGAAGAAAAATTAGAAGAGCTCTGGGACATTAAATAGAGAAGCCAGTAGACCACTGAGATTGTAGGTCTGGAGTTAAAGAGATTTGGTGGAATTTGAGACCAAAACTAGAGACCTTTAGAACGGTTAGAACCACAAAACTGGTTAAGTCTCAACTAGGAAAGCAGGAAACTAAGATGAGAAGGAAACTAGGATGGGACCCTGGGAAATCCAAATATTTCAAAATGTGGGCAAATTAAACTTTTACTGAACACTTAGTAAACTGCATATAAGTTAGTAAACATATACCTATTTTGTCTTTTTACACTTTGATATGAATCTTCTACTAAATTCAGAGTGTTATCAGAATTTGTGTCATATTTTCACTTTCTTCTGCATCAAACTCCTGAAGCATTTATTTTGGTTCACAGGACACAAATTCTGCTCTCCTGAGTCATTTAGTTCTGTTTGTAGGGCAGGAAATTGTCTACTGACCAGAAGAAATGACATGAATATTTGTTATTTCTCACACTCTATATCTTAGGTTATCAAGGAGATAGACAAAGATGGAAGAGGAGTTTTTGTTAAATGTTTAATAACGTAATTTTTGTGCCCATGTTAAAAAACATGCAAAATGTAGGGACAAATGTAGAATTACATATCTAATGTCTGTGCAAGT